ATGTATCTGTTTTTATTCGGATTTAACATTTCTACACTTGCATAGTATATGTGGTATGACACCAGTGAAAGCGAGGACAACAGACACTATAAATATCCTACCCATCCTTCACAGTTGTCTTATTTCTTGGGCAAGGAAATATTGCATGACAGTATTAATACAAGTTTCTTATGTCAATAGGAAGAAAAAAATCCTGCACGTTTTTTCGGTAGTTGCGTGTGGCCAATAAATATACAGTTCTGTGTATTGTGTACACATGTTATGGCCATATAATTTTGTATTAGCCATACGCCATGCAGATTTTGGATTAAACGATTGACATTTGTAATTTTTAGATATTGGCAGTAAAAAGTTTAAAGAGAAACGAAGTCATCAGTAAGTATAATATTTCTCGATTTAATCTTTCTATTATTTTATAGAATTTTCAAAATAAGTTTCCTTAAGTGGCCAATAACTGCAGCGTTTATTCTGTAATAAAGTTAATTAAATTTCATAAATTTAGTTTAGTAAACATGTGGTTTACTTAACTAAATTTATAGGATACTTACCTAAATTTATCTTAGGAAAACATTGAAATTGAATTGAATTGAAGGAAATATTGAATTGACTAAAATAATTTGTCTTAAAGTTTAAAAAAAAATATTCAATATTTTTTTAGACTCTAAAGGGAATTTTTTCTAATATTCTTTGTAAGAAATTGTAAAATTTTCATTAGTGAAAATTTACATTAAAATTGTAGAATTGGGTTTAATATGTAAACTTTATTTGAATTTATTATACATGTTGCAAACATTTTAAAGAAATTTTTCAATATTGTTAAAATAGTTTAGCTGTATAAATCTTTCTTCGATGTAGAGCAGCGAGAGGTTCCTGAAACTTCATGCGTTGGCAACTGGTTCAGGTTGTTTGTGCCTAAAAATGTTACCTGACATTTGAAACAGATGAAATTTGGCTTTTATATATCCTTATTACTACAAAAATTATTTAAAAACTAATAAAATTTTCTTAAAAATTCTTAACGTTTTCATCTTTAAACAAACCATTTTATCACCTGATCATAATACAGTTACTTTAGTTAAACCACTGAACACTAGTTTAATAAAATTTTCACTTATGTCCTTTTTTAAAAACCAAAAACTTAGCCTTCTAGTTTTTATATTAAATATTTATATCGTAAATATAGAATCAAAACTCTAAATTTTTCAGTTTTT